TATACAAAATCAAAGTTATTTTATTGGAGATGAATCTTCAAGGAAAGCCATCTCCCTCGTAGGGACAAATCAGAAGTTCTTACATTTCTGAATGATCTAAATATTTGACTTATTAAATAGTTGGCTTGTTTTTTTAAGTTTTTATTTCCGTGCATGTTGTGCTGTTTGACGATTCGCTCTATTGTGGGGTCCTTGGTGCTCTCTTGAGCTTGGTGGGATTTCTGGCAGATGTTTCCTCACCAAACCAGTTAACATTATCAGTGCAAACTCCTCTCCTTTCTAGAACTGATGATGTTACCTAGTTGGGTCATGGAATGTCTGCAAGAAAACAACCATGTTCAGAGACCACCAAGGACCCCACAGTTCTCCTCCCCCTCCTCCTCTTCTTCCTCTTCTTCTTCCTCCTCCTCCTCCTCCTCCACTTCCTCCTCCCCCCTCTCCTCTCCACAAACCCCACTTCCTTCTAGCACTGATGATGTTACCTAGTTGGGCCATGGAATGTCTGCAAGAAAACAACCACGTTCAGAGAGCACCAAGGACCCCACAGTTCTCCTCCCCCTCCTCCCCCTCTTCTTCCTCTTCTTCTCCTCCTCCACTTCCTCCTCCCCCTCCTCCTCTCCACAAACCCCACTTCCTTCTAGCACTGATGATGTTACCTAGTTGGGCCATGAAATGTCTACAAAAAACCCACCACGCTCAGAGAGCACCAAGGACCCCAAAGTCCTACCTTCTCCTCCTCCTCTCCACAAACCCCTCTTCCTTTTAGCACTGATGATATTCCCTAGTTGGGCCATGAAATATCTGCAAGAAAATAGACTTTTTTTTTTTATTATTGGCTACACAAGGGATTTGTCTTTGGTGCATAGGCTCTCAGTGTACATAAAAGAAAAGATACGTTCGTCAAGAATCATAAGGTACAACACTTAATGTTAGTCATAGGGTACAAATAAGCAATCAGGAAACAATATCAATATAAGTCGTAAGGATACAAGCAACAAAATTAGAGTCATACAGTCTTAAGTGGGAGGAAATGGGTGGTGGGAACGATGAGAAGATTAATAGTAATAGTAGTGCAGACTTAGTGAATAGTTTGACAGTGTTGAGGGAATTATTATTATTTTTTTTTAAATTTGATTTATATGCCGCCCTTCTCCGGAGACTCAGGGCGGCTTACAATGCGCTAAGCAATAGCCTTCATTCTTTTATATATTTATACAAAGTCAGCTTATTGCCCCCACAAACTGGGTCCTCAATTTACCCACCTTAGAAAGGATGGAAGGCTGAGTCGACCTTGAGCCTGGGGAGATTCGAACTTAACAGTAATTGCAGGCAGCTGGTCTTAATAACAGGGTGCTTTAGACCACTGTACTACCAAGGCTCTTTGTTTTGTTTAGTAGAGTGATGGCGTTCGGGAAAAAACTGTCCTTGTGTCTAGTTGTTCTGGTGTGCAGTGCCCTATAGCATCGTTTTGAGGGTAGGAGTTGAAACAGTTTATGTCCAGGATGCCAGGGGTCTGCAGCTATTTTCTCAGCCCTCTTTGGCTCATGAAGTATCCAGGTCCTCCATGGAAGGCAGGTTGGTAGCCGTTGTTTTTTCTGCACTTCTGATTATCCTCTTTTTTTTTTTTTTTAATTTGATTTATATGCCGCCCTTCTCCGAAGACTCAGGGCGGCTTACAATGTGCTCAGCAATAGCCTTCATCCTTTTCTATGTTTATACAAAGTCAGCTTATTGCCCCCACAAACTGGGTCCTCATTTCACCTACCTTAGAAAGGATGGAAGGCTGAGTCAACCTTGAGCCTTGGCGAGATTCGAACCCTGCAGTAATTGCAGGCAGCTGGTCTTAATAAGCTTAATAACAGGGTGCCTTAAACCCCTGTACTACCAAGGCTCTTTATTGCTCGGGGGTCGCATAACTATATCCTCTGAAGTCTCTGTCTGTCTTGTTGGGTTGCAGGACCAAACCAGACAGTTACAGAGGTGCAAATGACAGACTAAATAGATAAAGAATTCTATTCTATTCTATTCTATTCCATCTTGCTTCTCCTTACCAAATTTTTGATAGAAAGAGGCTTCAGCTGAGAATCGTTTGCCTCGATTTCTCGGTGAATTTTTGTTTTATTAATTTCTATCCATTGGCTGCCTGTCTCGCGACAAGGAATCGTTGTCAAATCTCTAGAAGCGGAACCAGGAATCCTTCTACGTTCTCCAAGGTGACCCTTTCTCCAAGGGTCCCTTCCTGATTTGGCCAAACTGATTGAAGAGTTAATAGGTGACCAGCATGTTACATAACTCGATTTAGGAGGGGAATTTTTTTCCTTCCAGCCCTCCAAACGCTTTCCAAATTAATGATCTGAATCTTCTGCGTCGCGTCACAGCGTTGGCCAAACCGATGATCCGTTTAGTTGGACACGAATCGCCCGAGGGGTTGAAATATTTTCATTTGTTGGGGGGGGGAAATAAATGATCGTTGCAAAAGAGAACGCAAGTCCTTTAATAGCCCCCGGGCCAGATGTCAAAGAACCGAGCAGTCATGCATGATTTTTTTCCCCCTTTCAAATTATGCTTGTGGTTATTTCCAAATTTGTTTGTGGATTCTCGGGTACCAATTCTGTAGGACGCCAGCCGAGCCCACCATTCATTCTATAATTCTCCTCTTTTTTTGTCTTCCAAACCAGAGTCAAGATTGCTTATTTAACAATTTGCAGAAATTCCAGCCTGGTGGACTTCAACTCCCAGAATTCCCCAGCCAGCAAAGTCTTCCTGCACAAAAACCCAGGTAGTCCTCAACTTACGATCACAATTGAGCCCAACATTTCTGCTGCTAAGTGAGACTGTTGTTAAGTGAGTTTTCCCCCACTTTACGACCTTTTTCAGCCACAATTGGCGAATGTGAATCACCGCAGTTGTTAAGTTAGTAATCCGGTCGTTAAGCAAATCTGGATTTGCTGGTCAAGAGGTCACAAAAAGGGATCATCACGAGACCCCGGGGACACGGCGACCGTCATAAAGATGAACCAGTTGCCAAGCTATCTGAATTTTGATCACGAGACCTTGGGGGGATGCTGCCATGGTCATAAATCTGAAAACTGGTCATAAATCACTGTTTCCGTGCTGTTGCAACTTCAAACGGTCACTAAATGAACTGTTGTAAATCGAGGACTACCCGGAATACAGGAATCTTCCCAGATTGGCAGGTTTTGCCTTGGAAAGACCAGATAAGGCACAAAGGCATTCAGGTGTGTTTGTGTGTATCAGATCTTCTCCTCTTGTGTCTACCTAACAATTCCAGACTAATCGCTCACTTGACATCCCCCTCCTCCTCCCGACTCGGCCGTTGAACCTGAAAGATTTTCTGCCGCAGTAGGACACTGCAACGGTCGTAAATATGAATCAGTTGCCAAGGGTCCGAATTTTGATCATGTGTCCATGGGGATGCTGCAACCGTCATAAGTGTGAAAAAGAAGCATAAATCTCTTTTTTCAAAGCTGTCGTAACTTCAAACAGTCACTAAATAAATGATTGTAAGGCAAGGAATATCTGCACCACCTTTTCCAAAATGGATTAGACCAGGTGAATTTAGTTGCTGGAGTAAAAAAAAAACAATTTGTTTTGCCTTGTTACCTGACTTTTTTTTTGCAATCAAAGCTAAAAAAATAGTAGCCAAAATCATGGAAACCTTTTGGGAAAAGTGTATTTTTGAGGTTTGATGGCTAATAACACCCCTTTTTTGGGGGAGTTTCAAGATAATCCTATTCCACTGCTGGAATGGCCTGGGAATAGCCCAGACCTTAAAGACCAATCGAAAATCTATGGAGCTGACTAAAGAAACTGGTTAGACAGAAGCAACCCAGCAATAAAACCCAGTTAATAGAAACCATCATTCAATCTTGGTTTCACATTAGAACAGCTGCGGAACTAAAAGACTTGGTTCACTCCATGGGAAGACGTTGTAAGGCCGGAATTCATGCTAAAGGTTCCCCAACTAAGTATAAATTGACATGGGGATCATTTTTGTATATCTCGTTTTTTCTACGGTGATAATTTTTGTATCTCTCTTTTTTTCTACGTGTTTCACTTTTCCTCTTTATCCTGTAACTTCTATTCTAATAGCAAATCCTTCCTAAAAGTTATTGCATTACATTCTTGATTAAATTATCTTTCCATGGATATATAATTTTACGGCACTACTCCCCCAAAAAAGTGGTATTCTTAGCTAGTTTTAGAAAATATACTTTTCCCAAAAGGTGTCCACAATTTTGGCCACTGCTGTATAGTTGCTAGTCAGTTACTTAAGCTCAACACAAGGGTGTAACTACAACTACAGTGGCATTATTTCCAACCGTTTTAAGGCAGGAAACGCACACAGGTTGCATTCACACTAAATTCCTGAGCTGGTTACAACTTTCGGCTATTTATTTATTCAACGTATTAAGCTGTAATCTAACCAGACCGGCTGGATTTTCTGTCCAAGTTGCTCAGCCAATAAAAGGAATTAAGAGAGAAACTTAACCTCACTTAGCAAGTTACGCAGAAATGGTCTGGAGGGTTGGTGGGGGTTGTGTGAACACAGCCAACCTGTTGATTTTGTGCGTTTCGCACCGTAGGGGAGAATTTGACACTTGAGTTTTCACAAAATTTGAACAGAGCATTCGTGGACTCTTGGAATCGGCCGGCACGAAAAAATGAGATTTTTTTTTTACAAAAGCTGAAATCCGCGATTATGTACTGTCAGCACTTCAAGCTGCATTTACTCTAGTGCTGACATAAGAAGGAGAAGCGGAGGCGTCTGGAAAGGGACGTTTGACTTTTCACCTACTTATTTTCCCTGGAGATAATATCCCCTAGGAGATTAGGGGTAGAGTGACTTGGAAGATGGCCAATGAGTGCAGAGGAGTGGGGAACGGAAAGGGAGGGTTTTGGGTCTGGAAGTCAGTGTTGGCTACGATGGAGTCGGAGTGAATGTCGTGCTTAATAAATGGGAGTTTTTCATCAAAGACTTTGTTTGAAATGCAATTTATTTGAGACGACCTCGAAACCTGACATGTACATTATTACGGTGCATTGATCCAGAAGAGGCACCAACTGGTAGCTTTCTGACCATTTTTCTTTTCCAACTTCTTTGCTAGCCAATCAAGGTCAGGTTGAAGCTGCCAACAGGAAATTTTGTCCGCAGTTCCTGATCGAGCTGGAAGGAAGAAGAGAAGAGAAGACCAACACAATATTCATATGTGAGATTGAACTAAGTTTCCGTGATGCTCGAATGGCAAAACTGTATAAAAAACGGTTGCAGGAACTGGGCCTGGCTGGTCTAGTGAAGAGAAGGACCAGGAGAGACAGGAGAGCATCTTCCAATATTTGAGGGGCTGCCACAGAGAGGAGGGGGGTCAAGCCATTTTCCAAAGCACAAGAAAGAAAGAAAAGAAAGAAAGAAAAGAAAGAAGGAAGGAAGGAAGGAAGGAAGGAAGAAGGAAAGAAAGAACAAAGGAAGAAGAAAGAAGAAAGAAAGAAAGAAAGAAAGAAGAAAGAAAGAAAGAAAGAAAGAAAGAAAAAAGAAAGAAAGAAAGAAAGAAAGAAAGAAAGAAAGAAAGAAAGAAAGAAAGAAAGAAGAAAGAAAGAAAAAGACAGACATCTGAGTGAACCATGGATGGACAGAAGACATGGCTAGTCTAGTGAAGAGAAGGACCAGGGGAGACAGGAGAGCATCTTCCAGTATTTGAGGGGCTGCCCCAGAGAGGAGGAAGGGGGCCAAGCTATTCTCCAAAGCCCCTGAAGGCTAGACAAGGAATAATGGATGGAAACTGACCAAGGAGAGATTCAACCTGGAAATAAGGAGAAATGTTCTGGGAGTGAGAACAATCAACCCATGGAACAGAAGTTGCCTTTGGAAGTCGTGGGAGCTTCATCACTGGAGGCTTCCAAGAAGAGACTGGACTGCCATCTGTCAGAAATGGGTGTAGGGTCTCCTGCTTGGGTGGGGGTTGGACTAGATGACCTACAAGGTCCCTTCCAACTCTGTTAATCTGTATCTGTATCTATTCTCTAAAGCACCTGAAGGCCAGACAAGGAATAATGGATGGAAACTAACCAAGGAGAGAAGCAACCTGGAACTAAGGAGGAATTTCCTGACAGCGAGAACCAGTGGAACAGCTTGCCACCAGAAATTGTGGGTGCTCCATCATTGGAGGTGTTCTTGCTTTTACAGGCAGTCCTCAATGTACGACCACAACTGAGCCCAAAATTTCTATTGTTAAGCGAGACATTTGTTAAGTGAGTTTTCGCCCATTTTACGACCTTTCTGACCCCGGTTGTTAAGTGAATCACTGCAGTGGATAAGTTAGTAACATGGTCACTAAGCGAATCTGGCTTCCCATCGACTTTGCTTGTCAGAAGGTCGCAAAAGGGGATCACATGACCCCGGGACCTGCCACCGTCATAAATATGAGCCAGTTGCCAAGCGTCTGAATTTTGATCACGGTGACCATGGGGACGCTGCAATGGTCATAAGTGTGAAAAATGGTCATAAGTCTCTTTTTTCAGTGCTGTTGTAACTTCAAACAGTTACTAAGCGAACTGTTGTTAAGTCGAGGGCTATCTTATAGGGAAGATTTGCTTGGAAAACCCGGACAGAAATCCTGCAGGAATGCAATTCTACTTTTGGGGGGGACATTAGATGTTTTGTCCCAAAGTGCTTTTTTCTTTTTCTTTCTTTCTTTCTTTCTCCCTTTCTGTCTTTCTTTCTTTCTTTCTCCCTTTCTGTCTTTCTTTCTTTCTCCCTTTCTTTCTTTCTTTGTCTGTATTTCTTTCTTTCTCCCTTTTTCTTTCTTTCTTTCTTTCTCTTTCTTTCTTTCTCCCTTTCTCCCTTCCTGTCTTTCTGTTTCTTTCTTTCTTTCTTTCTTTCTTTCTTTCTTTCTTTCTTTCTTTCTTTCTTTCTTTCTGCAATTGGATTTTCTGGTTTTTCTTTGAAGACGTTTCACTTCTCATCCAAGAAACTTCTTCAGCTCTGACTGAATGGTGGGGAATGGAAGGATTTATATTCCTTGCAGACAAAACTGGTCCTTTGCATCCTTTTATTGGTTCAATTTATCTATTTATTGGTTCAATTTATATGCCGCCCTTCTCCGGAGATTTAGGGCGGCTTACAATGCGTTGAGCAATAGCCATCATACTTTTGTATATTTATACAAAGTCAGCTTATTGCCCCCACAATCCGGGTCCTCGTTTTACCTACCTCGGAAGGATGGAAGGCTGAGTCAACCTTGAGCCTGGTGAGATTCGAACCTGCAGTAACTGCAGGCAGCTGGTGTTACTTAACAGCGCTTTAGTCTGCTGCGCCACCAAGGCTCTTAGAGGGTCATTGAGGCCACTTGGAGGTTTATCTGTGTCCTCAGGGTCACCTGAGTGGTGCAAAGGGTTCCTGTAGTCTGCAATTTTTTTTCTTTTTTCTTCTCTGGAAATTTTTCCCTGCAAAATGCTCTAAAAGTCTAAAAGTCAGAACTGAAGAAGCTTCTTGGAGGAGAAGTGAAATGTCTTCAAAGAAAAAAAGAAAGTTCAGGTCAGTTAGAAAAAGCACATTTAGGGACAACCATGACCTGGATGACTGAGAATTTCTATAGACTTTTAACTATAGAATTTGGGATGGACAACCCTTTGAATGGTGCAGGAGTAGGAATGGATTTCCAGAGGAAACAAAATTGCAGACTAAGGAACCATTTGCACTACTCGGGTGTCTCTGAGGACACAGGTAAATCTCCAAGTGGCCTCAACAACCCTCTAAAAGGATGCAAATGACCAGCTGTCTGCAAGGAGTATAAATCCTTCCATTCTCCACCATCCGGTCAGAACTGATGAAGCTCCTTGGATGAGAAGCGAAATGTCTTCAAAGAAAAAGCAGAAAGTCCAGTTGCCTCTTGAAAAAGCATTTTTGGGACAACCATGACTGAGAAACTCTACAGACATTTTTTCCAGCTGTGTCCTGAAGCCTTACCCACTTTCGCACCGCATGAGTGACGGAAGGATCCGTGATGTTTAACTGAGTGCTGAATCTCACCGACAGGATGAAGCGAGTCCCGGCTGCAGGGAGCAAACACAAGAAAAGAAAAAAAAATTAAGGTAGCCCTTGACTTACGACCGTTTGTTTAGGGACCAGACTTACAACCTCACTGAAAAAAGGCAACATACGACTGTTTTCTGCACTTTACGACCATCGTAATATCCCTACCTGATCAACATACGTCCACTTGGCAACCGGTTCATATTTACGACGGGGGCAGCGTCCCGGGGGGGGTCACGTGATCCCCTTTTGCGACCTTCTAACCAGCAAAGTCACGAGGGAAGACGGATTCACTTAACAACCGTGTGACTAGTTTAACAGCTGCAACTGAGTCGCTTAACAAAGGTGGAAAGTAAAGCTGTAAAATGGGGGGAAACTCATTCACCGAGGTGATTCATTAAATAACTGCAGCGAGAAAGGTCATTATAGGTGGTACCGAGGGGTGGGCTTCGAAAATTTTAGCAAGGGGTTCTCTGCCTAGTTGCTGGGTGGGAGTGGCCATGGCGGGCGTGGCCTAGTTGGTCTCCTGCACCACAGTGGGGGGGGGGGCATGTTTTTGTCCTCCCCAGGCTCCAGAGGCTTTTCTCGAGCCTCTGGGACGGCAAAAATGGCCTCCCCAGGCTCCAGAGGCCCTCTGGAGGCCGGAAACGCCCCTGTCAGGTTTCGATGCTATCTCAAAATAAATGAACTTCCAAACTGCCAATCTTTAAGGAAATTTTCTCTTTATTCGAGCACAGCAACCGGATCCTGACTCTTCGCGGTCAATACTGACCTTTGCCCCCCAATCCCTCCCTTTCCGATCCCCAATTCTCTGCTTCTCATTGGCTATCTTCCAAGTCACTCTCCTGATTCCTTTTTCATCAGTTCACAGGAATGTTTCCCCCCTCCTCATCTCCGAGGAGACCGAATCTTCAAAGGGATTTAGCAGGCAAAAGTTCAGGCTTCATCCTCCCTTTTCTATGTCAGTGCTGAGACGCTGACATCCCCTTAATTCTACATCCTGCTTCAATCCCTTTGTACTGATTGTTTGGAAGGAATCGGTGCGTGGACGTTTTCTGCACACACCTGGCCTGAGAATTCAACCTCAGGTAGAGGATTGAATCTGGAACTAATCTGGAGCTGAACTGAGCCAGCAGCTGAAGGGGAATTTTGAAAATGAGGGTTTTTCGGAGCCTCGGATCTCTTTTGAATTCAGAAGAATTCAAGCGTTCAGAAAAGAAGGGGTGCTTACCTGGAGTTTTAGGGAGATGCGTTGAAGCTGAGGGAGATGTGGTGGTGGAAGAAAGAACTTTGAAGGGGGTTGCCGGGTATTGACTTTTGGGATTTGTGGACGACTGAGCAGATCGTCCCAGGCTGGTCCTTCCTGAGTTAGAAGACAGAAGACCGGTGGACGTAACGTTTGGGGTGCTTTTGTCTTGAGTAATTGAAGAGGAAGTTGAGGAGGGAGAGGTTCCCGGCCTCCAGCTGGTGATCTCAACCTCAGAACCTGTGGTAACTCCTGAAGAGCTGGTTGTGTCTCCAACTCCAGAAATCATACTCGTAGGCATGGAGGTCACTTGTGTTGAAGTAAGAAGAAACCATGTTGGAGAACGAGGGCTGGAGCTCATCTCCTTTGCGGTGGAGGTTGATAGGCCTTCAGATGTCCTCTTGTCTTGGGGAGTTGGAGAACGAGGGCTGGAGCTCATCTCCTTTGCGGTGGAGGTTGATAGGCCTTCAGATGTCCTCTTGTCTTGGGGAGTTGGAGAACGAGGGCTGGAGCTCATTCCTTTGCGGTGGAGGTTGATAGGCCTTCAGATGTCCTCTTGTCTTGGGAAGTTGGAGGACGAGGGCTGGAGCTCATAACTTTTGCGGTGGAGGTCGATAGGCCTTCAGATGTCGTCTTGTCTTGGGGAGTTGGAGAACGAGGGCTGGAGCTCATTTCCTTTGCGGTGGAGGTTGATAGGCCTTCAGATGTCCTCTTGTCTTGGGAAGTTGGAGAACGAGGGCTGGAGCTCATAACTTTTGCGGTGGAGGTCGATAGGCCTTCAGATGTCGTCTTGTCTTGGGGAGTTGGAGAACGAGGGCTGGAGCTCATAACTTTTGCGGTGGAGGTCGATAGGCCTTCAGATGTCCTCTTGTCTTGGGAAGTTGGAGAACGAGGGCTGGAGCTCATCTCTTTTGCGGTGGAGGTCAATAGGCCTTCAGATGTCCTCTTGTCTTGAGGAGTTGGAGAACGAGGGCTAGAGTTCATCTCCTCTACGGTGGAGCTGATGAAAAGCATGGTTGACTCTGCTGGGTAAGTGGTCCCTTCTTCTGAAGGACCCCCAAAACCAGTGCTAGAAATGGAAGTCATTTCAAGGAATGAAGAAGCTGGAGAGATATCCTGGGTGCCAGCAGGAATGGAAGCATCAGGTGAGGAAGAGGAGGGCAGTGTTGTAGCTACTCCAAGAGGACTTGTTTCTCCAAGGGTGCTCCACAGACTGGTCACGTTGGAGACGAGAGCCACAGAAGAAGGGAGAGACCCCGTGGTCTCTTCTGCTGGTGGAATAGTTTCCATGACACCAGTGGTATCAGCCACAGAAGTGGAAGGACGTGGCTCTGATGTGGGCACACATGTTGGAGGCAAAGTTCTGATCTCGGTTGTGGCTTCTCCTGAAAAGAAAGGAGACAAGTCTCTTTTGTGTTGACCAACTCTTGCGTTGACCAACACTTGACCAACCCTGTGTTGACCAAGACAGACTAGGGGCGACATGACAGTAGTCTTCCAGTATTGGAGGGGCTGCCACAAGGAAGAGGGAGTCAAGCTATTCTCCAAAGCACCTGAAGGCAGGACAAGAAGCAACGGGTGGAAACTCATCAAGGAGAGAAGCAACTTGGAACTAAGGAGAAATTTCCTGACAGAACAATTAACCAGTGGAACAACTTGCCTCCAGAAGTTGTGAATTTTCCAACACTGGAGGTTTTTAAGAAGACATTGGACAACCATGGCTCAGGACCAGGGTACTTACGAGACCGCCTTCTGCCACCAGTAGCCTCTCGCTGACCAGTTCACTCCCATAGAGAGGGGCTCCTCAGGGTGCCGTCGGCCAAACTATGTTGACTGGCGGCCCCCAGGGGGAGAGCCTTCTCTTGTGGGGGCACCTGCCATCTGGAACGAGCTCCCCCCGGAGATACGGAGGATCCAAGACTTACGCATCTTCCGCCGCGCCCTAAAAACGTTTTTATTCCAACAGGCTGGTCTGGCCTAGCTCTCCCTTCTAAATTGGCTTTTAAATTGGGTTTTAAATGTTTTTTAGATAAATTGGATGTTTTAACTTTTTGAGCCTAAATTATTTAATCTGTTCTTAATAGTTTTTAACTTTTGTATGTCTTTGTATTTTATTTTTGGCTGTTCACCGCCCTGAGTCCTTCGGGAGTAGGGCGGTATACAAATATGAAAAATAAAATAAAATAAAAATAAACCAATTGTCCGGAATAGTACAGAACCTCCTGCTTGAACAGGAGGTTGGATTAGAAAATCTCAGAGGTCGCTTACGAAATCAGTTATTCTGTTATTTGTGATGGGCGACTCTTTGGATAACAGGTGTGGGTTTGTGCATCAATATTGCCCTTGTCCTAACACCACCATCATCTATGCATCATCTATGTCACCAGACTCAAAATTTTGGGCTTAAGACAATTTAGAACTTCGCCGTCTTCGGTCTGACCTAAGCGTAGTACATAAAATCATCTGCTACAATGTCCTACCAGACAATGACTACTTCAGCTTCAACCACAGCAAAAACAAGAGCACACAATAGATACAACTCAAGGTAACCCGATCCAAACTAGACAGCAGAAAATACGACTTCAGCAACAGAGTTTTGAACGCCTGGAATGCACTACCGGACTCTGTGGTTTCTTCCCCAAACCCCCATAGATTTCCACTGCTCTCCTCTCCTCTGCCTTCTGTGCATCAGTGCATCAGGCACTGGACCCAGCTGCTCCTCCTCGTCCTCATCAGCCACCTCCGGACCTGGGGGCTGTTGACTCTCCATCTGAGGGCTGACGGATGGCCCAGGCTCCCCCCCTCTCTCTTTTTAATTTTTTTTATTTTTATTTGATTTATATGCCGCCCTTCTCCGGAGACTCAGGGCGGCTTACAATGCGCTAAGCAATAGCCTTCATCCTTTTGTATATTTATACAAAGTCAGCTTATTGCCCCCACAAACTGGATCCCCATTTAACCTACCTTAGAAAGGATGGAAGGCTGAGTCAACCTTGAGCCTGGGGAGATTCGAACCTGCAGAAATTGCAGGCAGCTGTGTTAATTACAGGGTGCATTAAACCCCTGTACTACCAAGGCTCTCTGCCAGCTCCGGGACCGCCTTCTGCTGCCGATAGCCTCCCACCGACCAGTACGCACCCACAGAGAGGGACTCCTCAGGGTGCCGTCAGCCAGGCAATGTCGGCTGGCGACCACCCAGGGGGAGGGCCTTCTCTGTGGCAACTCCCACCCTCTGGAACGATTTGCCCCCGGAGATAAGAAGGATATCGGATCTCCGGGTCTTTCGCCATGCCCTGAAAACTTTTCTTTTCCATCAAGCAGGGCTGGCGTGAACCCCCTCCCCCTTTTCTAGCTTTGTTAGTTTTTTAAATTGTCAATGGGTTTTAGTTTGAATGTTTTAAATTTTGGGGCCAAAGTCATGGAATTCTTTTAAAATTTAAAATTTTGCATTGGTATGTGTTTTAGTTTTGGCTGTGCACCGCCCTGAGTCCACTAGGAGAAGGGCGGTATACAAATTGAATAAAATAAATAAATAAAAATAAATTTCCTCTTTCCCCTCGGAGCTCTCAGTTTGCCTTGACCCTGACTCTCATGCCTCCTCCTCCTCCTCCTCTGATTCGGCTGCTGGAGCTGACAGACCACAACAGTCCTCCCTTCAACTTTGCCAAATGTGCTCTACAGAGGTGAGGGGTAATCATGCATGAGACACAAATGGACCTTTGAGGCGATGGTCAGGCATAGATCCCGAGGATCTCCAAAGATCTCCCTCTTAAAACCAATCAAGTTTCATTCTGAGCATTTGCAGCCAGCTGTCCATGGAAATGTTTTCCCAGACTGGTGGTCAACCATTCAGACAGGAGGGACACTTACCTGGAGTTTTAGGGAGATCCGTTGAAGCTGAGGGAGATGTGGTGGGGAAGAAAGAACATTGAAGGTGGTTACAGGACTTTCACTTGTGGGATTTGTGGACGACGGAGCAGATCGTCCCAGGCTGGTCCTTCCTGAGTTAGAAGACAGAAGACCAGTGGACGTAACATTTGGGGTGCTTTTGTCTTGAGTAACTGAAGAGGAAGTTGAGGAGGGAGAGGTTCCCGGCCTCCAGCTGGTGATCTCAGCCTTAGAACCTGTGGTAACTTCTGAAGAGCTGGTTGTGTCTCCAACTCCAGAATTGGCACTTGTAGGCGTGGAGGTCACTATTGTTGAAGTAAGAAGAAACCTCTGGAAGATTGTAATTGTCTCAGTTGTGAGAGGCGGAGAACTAGGATGCTTCTCACTCATGGTTTCTGCTTGTGAAGTGGTGGAGATAGTGGTCAGTGGGCCTTCAGATGTCCTCTTGTCCTGGGGAGTTGGAGAACGAGGGCTGGAGTTCACCTCCTCTGCGGTGGAGGTTGAAGTTGAGGAGTGAGAGCTTCCCGGCCACCAGCTGGTGATCTCAGCCTCAGAACTCGTGGTAACTTCGGAAGAGCCAGTGGTGGCTTCCACTCCAGGAGTGGCACTCAGAACTGTGGAGGTTGCTACCGTTGGAGTAGGAAGGGGAACCAACATGGAGGAAGTTTTCATTGTCTCAGTCGTAAAAGGAGGAAAACTAAGATGTTTCTCGCTTGTAGATTCTTCCTGTGTTGTGGTGAAGATGACGGTCGATGGACCTTCAGATGTCCTCTTATCTTGGGAAGTTGGAGAACGAGGGCTGGAGTTCACCTCCTCTGTGGTGGAGGTCAATAGGCCTTCAGATGTCCTCTTGTCTTGGGACGTTGGAGAACGAGAGCTGGAGTTCACCTCCTCTGTGGTGGAGGTCAATAGGCCTTCAGATGTCTCCTCTTGTCTTGGGACGTTGGAGAACGAGAGCTGGAGCTCATCTCCTCTGTGGTGGAACCTGGTGAAAAGCATGGTTGACTCTGCTGGGTGAGTGGTGCCTTCTTCTGAAGGACCCCCAAAACCAGTGCTAGAGATGGAGGTCACTGCAAGGGAGGAAGAAGCCACAGAGACATCTGAGGTGCCAGCGGGAATGGACGCTTCAGGTGAGGAAGAGGAGGGCAGTGTTGTAGCTACTCCAAGGGAGTTGGTAGTTGGACTTTCTCCAACGGTGCTCCATGGACGGGTCGTTTTAGAGAGGAAAGCAATGGAAGAGGGGAGGCACCTATTGGTCTCCGCTGCTGGTGTGGTAGTTTCCGTGCCACTAGTGGTGTCAGCCACGGATGCAAAAGGACGTGGCTCTGATGTTGTCGGAGGAGAAGTTGTGACCTTGGTTGTGGCTGTGCCTGAAAAGAAAAGAGATGGGTCATTTTTGTGTTGGCCAACACTCATGTTGACCAACTCTTGTGTTGACCAACAATTAATCAGTGGAACGACATGCCACCAGAAGTTGTGAGTGCTCCATCGCTGGAAGCTTTTAAGAAGACATTGGACAGCCACTTGTCCAGAATGGTAGAAATAGCATAGAGCAGGGGGGCTGGACTAGATGACCTCCAAGGTCCCTTCCAACTCTGTTACGAGTCTTTGAATGAGTCACCCATGGTTGGTGAAATTATAGACATTATAAGGGTGGGTGAGCTATTGATTCATTCTTATTTTATTCTACTTTACGTATTTATGTATTCAATTATTGTATGTTATCCCATAATTATTGTCTTTTTACCCTTTTCCTATTTTAAATTGTTTTTTATAGGATTTTATTGGCAATACCCGTTTGAACCTTATATTTCGATACGGCCTGTATAGGCTAATCAATAAAGCTAAGCTAATCTACTCTGATTCGTTCTTCGCCTTTTGCACAGAGTCTTTGAACATAAATTCAACAGATAGTCTAGTTTGGAGATCATCCGTGGCACATTTTGTGACTCCGACTCCCGAGCCTGTCCTCATGGAGGAAGAGGACTCAGAAGGTGAGGGGGAGGAACTGACAAGGCCTCCCTCTCCAGGACCCTCCTCTCTGGCAATGCCTCAGGTTCCATCCGAAGGCCAGGAGGAACAGCCTGGGATGGGCCAGGAGGAAGGCATTTTGGAGCATCCATTGATAGGGAGCGAGGATGATGAATCCTGGCTTGATCCCAGGCAGCGTCGGAGGGAGAAGCGTGCGCAGCAAAGGAAGAGGCGTGGGAGGGCCAGGGATTGAGCTGAGTCACGGAGCCACGCCCCACAAGGGATAAAAGGGGGCGTGATTGCTCGGCAGGCTTTGTGACGGATAAAAGTTTAAACTCTAAAGAGTCACATTGTGAATCCTGCACTTCGGCTCAGATATATTTTGGACTAAACTCTTGTGGATAATTTGTCGCTCTGGAAACAGACTGCAGATAAGGCCTCTCCTGCTTTTTGGGAGTACTAATTGGACTGGGCAGGCATTTTACAGTTAGCTACCAAGAACTCTCGTCTGCCAGGAATTCTGGTCTGTTTATACAATAAATTATTGGCAGGCGTGTTTGATACTGCATTTGTCTGTGTGAGGACGGGGGACAGAACAGCACAACATGAGCTCCGCAAGGAGAAAGATTTAAGCCGCAGGCAGCATCAAATTCTCCACTTCAGGTTTTACATACAACTATTTAGCATGTTGTATGAATGCAACCTATAAGCAGTGGTGGGATTCAAATAATTTAACAACCGGTTCTCTGCCCTAATGACCGGCTGGGTGGGCGTGGCCAGGGGGTGTGACAGGCAGCACTCGGCCTCCTGCACCCCCCCAGGAGCAAAAACGGGCCCTGTTTTGGGCCTAGTAGGCCTCCCTGCAGCCTCCTGGGAGCAAAAACAGGCCGCGGGGTGGAGGGGTTGTGCCGCAACCTCCGTGCCCCATTTTGGGCCTAGGAAGTCTCCGTGCACTTACCTATGAGCCAAAACGGACTGCAGGGGGACTCCTGGAAGGGGTGGGGCGGGGAAGGGCAGGGCCAACCAGCAATTTAACTACCAATTCGCCCAAACCGGCTGAATCCCAACCCTGATCTGGAGTTACAATCTTAAAAATTGCCATTCCCGTTGAATTTTTTGGCGACGGCAGTTTGCCATTTCCTTGGAAACATTTTCCCCTTTCCTATCTAGGTTACGATGTAGGATTTCCTGGTGGTGTCTCATCCACGGACTAACTGGACCCAACCTATTTAGAACACAGAACAATAGGATTGGAAGCGGCCATGGAGGTCTTGTAGTCCACCCCCTTGATCTTGCTACTCTCTCCTGGATATTTCAGCCCTTCTTTTAATATCAAGGTGTATAGGTAGTCCTTGACTTACAACGGTTTGTTTAGTGACCATTATAATGGCACAGAAAGTGACCAATTTTCAGATTTACGAGCACTGCAGCCTCTTACGGTCATGTGATCAAAATTCGGACATTTGGCAACTGACTCATACTTATGACGGTATCCTGGGAGTCACATGATCTCCTTTTGTGACCTTCGGACAGGCAAAGTCAAGGGGGAAGCCGGATTCACTTAACAACTGGGTTACTAATTTATCAACGGCAATGATTCACTTAACAACTACAAGCAAGAAAGGTTGTAAAATGGGGCAAAATTCCCTTAACAAACATTTCACAACAGAAATTTTGGGGCTCAATTGTGGTCGTAAACTGAGGACTACCTGTACAAGTTTATTATGCCCCGGTGGCATTCTGGGCAACTGAAAGGAGCTGAGTGTTTTACTGGCCGGATGCCTTTCCTGTCGCCGATGCAGAGTTATATTCAGCAGATAGATTCTCATCGTGCCCAGAGAGAAAAATATCTGCCTCTACCTGGGATCAAACTCACAGCCTCCTGATTGCGAGGGACACAGTGACTGTCATAAATATGAGCCTGTTGCCAAACCTCCGAATTTCGATCACATCATCTTTATATTCTTCCCCCTCCCTCTCTCCCACCCTCCCTCTCCCCATCTCTTCCTTTCCCTCTCTCCCTCCCTCCCTCCTTTTCCAAGTTCCTTTAAAGGCACTTACCAGTAATCTTGGCAGTTTCCAGTAAGAGTAAAATGGTCACCGCTGGAAAATAACCAAGAGCCATTTTGGGCAGATTTTAAGGGTGATTTGCTGCCCCCCGCCCAGGATCTCAACAGCCAGAGGCCAGCCTGACAAAATAAAATAAATCAGCAAATTAAAGATCTCTTCAATCTGGACTGGATTGTTTTAAAAGCAAGTTTCCTGGTTGATCCCATTGACAAGGCAGGGAGGGGTAGCCAAGGCTGGGCTGAAGCTGTCACTCCGCGGTTCTTGATGTTATTTTTTTTATTCCTGTCCAAGATGCAACTAGGTTTGGCCCAGGATAGCTCAGGTGCGGTTTCTTTTAATCCCAGGATTGTTCTCGTTTTACAGAACAGCTGAGGAGGGGCTGCAGACCAGGGATGAAATGCTCCCGGTTCGGACCGGATCGCCCGATCCGGTAGCGATGGAGGCGGGTGGTTCGGAGAACCGGTAGCAAAAATCCCTGCTGCCCCTCCCCCCCCCATGCCCAGCTGAACCGCGTGATCATCAGAGGCTGTTTTTTTTTTTTTACTTTTAAAAGCATTTTTTCTACAACCTCTTCAGCCGAAAAAATGCTCAGCTGGGATCGTCAGAGGCTTTTAAAAGCATTTTTTTTTTGTGCAACCTCTTCGGCTGAAAAGGCTGTAAAAAAAAAAACACCTGCCTTTAAAAGCCTCTGACGATCCCAGCTGAGCTGCCTGATCATCAGAGGCTTCTAAAAGCATTTTTTTTCTGCAACCTCTTCAGCCGTAAAGGCTGTAGAAAAAAAAAACGCCTTTAAAAGTAAAAAAAAAAAAAAAATGTTCGCCCCGCCCCCCCCGCCATTTCCCCCCCCCCAAGCCACGCCCACAGAACCGGTAGTAACAAATTTTAGATTTCACCCCTGCTGCAGATCCCTGTGAAATGCAGGTGACAATGTTTTAAAGCTTTTGTGGGTCTGTTGTGTAATTCATACTAGATGGCATTACCAGGGGCGGGATTCAAATAATTTAACAAATGGTTCGCATGAACCGGTGTGAACCGGCTGAATCCCATTCCTGGGCATTACGCCACGATTGGCTAAGTTCGTCTCTCATGCCTAGCCCGACCAATGAAACCGCAAGCAATCCTCCGCTTGCAATTATTCGTATAGCGACCGCTATAAGACAGCGCTGAAAAAGTGACTTCTGCCTGGTCCTTGCACTTATGACGGTCACAGCAGCCCTATAGTCATTTGGGCACTTGGCAACCGGTGCCCATCCCAGGGTCCCTCACCTGATCACCCTCTGCGATTTTCCCAGCTGGGCTTCTGGCAAGCAAAGTCAATGGAGGAAGCCAGCTTCGCTTAATGACCGTGTGATTTGCTTAACAACTGCAGTGATTTAATCATTGTGACAAAAAAAGGTTATAAAATCAGGTGTGACTCATTTAAAAACGGCCTTGCTTAACAACAGAAATTTTGGTCCCAATTGTGTTTGTAAGTCAAGGAGGCAAGAAAGGCTCTATCTCTCTTTCTCTCCCTCTCTTTCTCTATCTCCCTTTCTCTCTCCCTCTTTCTCTCTCTCCCTCTTTCTCCCTCTCCCTTTCTCTCTCCCTTTCTTTCTCTCCCTCCCTCTCACTCTTTCTCTCACTCCCTTTCTCTCTCTCTTTCTCTCTCCCTCTCTCCCTCTTTCTCCCTCTCCCTCTCCCTTTCTCTTTCTCTCCCTCCCTCTCCCTCTTTCTCCCACTCCCTTTCTCTCTCCCCCCTTTCTCTCTCCCTCTTTCTCTCTCTCCTTCACTCTCTCCCTTTCTCTCTCTCTCCCTCCCTCTTTCTCTCTCTCCCTCCCTCTCTTTCTCTTTCTCTCTCCCTCTCCCCCTCTTTCTCCCTCTCCCTTTCTCTCCCTCCCTCCCTCTCTCTCTCTCCCCCCTCTCTGTCTCCCTTTCTCTCTCTCTCTGCAACAATTTTCTCTTTCAGAATCTCGGACATTTTACCTCTTTTTGAATTCACACGTTACAAGCAAGAACTGCAGAATCAGCCGATAAACGCAAGGACGGCATTCCCGCAACACACTGAACGAGTAACTGAATTTTCTGGATTTGTCCAATTCATAAACTAGCCATGAACGAACCATGTAGGATGGGTTCATGCGACCAAAGGGCTGAAAATCAATTAAAAAAAAACCCTGGTCAAGGTTAACACTCCCCGAGCCAAAAGTGTTGTGTGAATGCATCTCCTATTTTTTTTTAACCTGACCTGGTGGAAAATGTTGCTAGTCTAGCAGACAACCCACGATTAGGCCCTCTGCACCATCCAGGCACGAGGCTCCTTGAAATAGAAAATAGAAATTTATTTTCTCGGCAGACAAGGGGCTCCCTTTGGCTGGCGGGAAGGCTATAAGTGGTAGAACCCTGCACTGGGAAAGGGGTTGGACTAGATGACCTCTAAGGTGGCTTTCAATCTTTCCATTCCAAGGTTCTATTGTTTTTTGGCTGTTAAATTACTAAGGGGGGGGATCAAGGCCGGGGTTTTCCCCTCCTCGGTTCATTTTCAGAGTCTCGTTTCCTTCTGGTTCTTTCCGTCTTCGTGAATAAAAAACTCTTTTGATTAGAAAGATGTTTCCTCATTCCAGCATTCGGTTCTGCTTTAGTGGTGGGTCCTTCCCTCTCTGAAAAAGAGGTTTGCTTTTCAGTCCCTGATCTCTCAAACGACAAACATAGATTTAGAAAAAAAATAAGAAATATTATTTTTCCTTTCTTCGGGACCAGGGGTCTCCAACCTTGGCAACTTTAAGATTTGTAGAACTCTGGACTATACATACCCAGTTCCTGCAACTGTTCTTTATATATTTTCTCCTCCAGCTCCCCTAATCAGTCATAATCTTAGACACTCCTGGTGACTACAAAGACCCAACAACTCTTAACTGTCTTGCAAAGAACTTAGAATAACTTTAGAATAACTTTATTGTCGATTTGAATGTACACTCATCGGCATACATGAAAATGAAATTTCGTTGCATCCAGCTCTCAAGAGGGCTCCCATCTTCAATATACACTTCATAAACATGACAAAATAAATAAATAAATAAATAAAGTAGGGATTGTCAGTTATCATGTCAATTCACAACCCTGGGATCTCCTGGTGGTCTCCCTTCCCACCTGCTTATTAGCTCTGCAGCCTCAGCGCAGCCTAGGGAAGAGTTGAAAAACCCTTAAGCGGGCAAGCCTTAAATTCCCGAACGCCATCGCTCTGCTAAACAAATCATTCCCTCAACACTGTCAAAGTAGTTATTAAGTCTGCATTACTATTAATCTTCTCATCGTTCCCATCACCCATCTCCTCCCACTTATGACTGTACGAGTGTAACCTTGTTGCTGGTATCCTTACGATTTATATTGACTGTTTCCTAATATGATTGATTGCTTATTTGTACCCTATGGCTATCGTTATTATTATTATTATTTATTGAATTTGTATACCGCCCTACTCCTGAAGGACTCTGATCTGTCCCCGTCCACACACACACACAAACACAGCCAGCCGAGGGTTAAGAAAGCACTTGGCACGCACATAGGTCCTTATCTCAAACTTGGCAACAATATAAGCACCGTCTGCCAATAGTTTTACTGCAACAGATAACATAAAATTACATACGCATTGCAAATAGTCCAGCAAAACAATATCCCTTCGGCAGCTTCAGACGTTGTTCAAGTGACTAGCCAAAGTTCGTTTTTGTTCGTCACGGAGTTTTACCAGCCACCACCCTCTCTTATATAGTCTCTGGGGTGTGGTCCAGTGACTCAGTTCTAATCCCTAGCACGCCTCCTAAGCTGCTGCAAACGTTTATCACGCCTTCGTTGGCGTGCATCCAGGAACGACGGCTCTCCTTCCTCGCTCTCATCAGAGACACCTGGCTCCTGGCTAATCTCCTCTCCCTCGGCCGGCACCTGAGACAGTGCCAGAGGGGAGGGGCCTGGAGAGGGAGCCTTCTTCCTCCGATGAGATAGGCTCAGAGGGCGGGGCCACAACAGACTCAGGGCGGTGAACAGCCAAATAAAATACATATAATACAAATGTTAAAAAACCATTAAAATACAATTAAATAATTGGCCCGGAAAATGAAATTTAAAACACCCCAAATTCATAAGACAAATTTAAAATTGAAAAATTTTAAAAATTTTAAAAAGTTTAAAAGAGGAGATTTAGGCCAGGCCGGCCTGCTGGAAAAGAAATGTTTTGATGGCACGGCGGAAAGCGCGCAGGTCCGGGATCCTCCGTATCGCCGGGGGGAGCTCGTTCCAGATGGCGGGTGCCCCCACAGAGAAGGCTCTCTCCCTGGGGGCCGCCAGTCGACATTGTTTGGCCGATGGCACCCTGAGGAGCCCCCCTCTATGGGAGCGTACTGGTCGGTGAGAGGCTATTGGTGGCAGAAGGCGGTCTCGTACATACCCCGGTCCTAAGCCATGGAGCGCTCTAAAGGTGGTAACCAAAACCTTGAAGACCACCGGGAGCCAGTGCAGCTCGCGCAGGAGGGCGGTCACATGGGAGCACCCCGTCGCTCCCATAACCACCCGCGCAGCTGCATTCTGGACCAGCTGGAGCTTCCGGGTGCTCCTCAAGGGGAGCCCCATGTACAGAGCATTGCAGTAGTCCAGGCGGAAAGTGACGTTAAGTGTTGTACCTTATGATTCTTGACAAACGTATCTTTTCTTTTATGTACACCGAGAGCCTATGCACCAAGACAAATTCCTTGTGTGTCCGTCACACTTGGCCAATAAAAAATTCTATTCTATTCTATTCTGTTCTGTTCTGTTCTGTTCTATTCTATTCTATTCTATTCTATTCTATTCTATTCTATTCTATTCTATTCTATTCTATTCTATTCTTCTATTCTATTCTATTCTATTCTATTCTATTCTATTCTATTCTATTCTATTCTATTCTACTCTATTCTATTCCTTTCCCCTTCCCTTCTTTTCCTTTCTCTTCTCTTCTCTTTTCTCTCCCCTCCTCTCTCCCCTCCCATATTTTCTCTTCTCTTCTTCTCTTCTCTTCTCTTCTCTTCTCTTCTCTTCTCTCCTCTCCTCCCTCCACTCCCCTCCTCTCCCCTCCCGTATTTTCTATTCTATTCTATTCTATTCTATTCTATTCTATTCTATTTCTATTCCATTCCATTCATTTTTTCTATTCTATTCTATTCTATTCTATTC